AAATTGCAAATGGCGGACTGCGTCGGTGAAGCCCTTGTAACGTATAGTTCCACGTAAAAGCGTTTTCGCGTCGGGCAGGTCGTAATATTTCGCGTACTTTGTACTATCCCCGTTTGGAAAACCTTCCAGACTGAACCCGGGCAGGAAATTAAGAGATCGCGTCGTTTCCATCAGTTCCCCTCCTTCGTTGATTACGACCTTCTCACCATGAGAAATATACCTTGCCTCTGACAAAGTGTTAATTAAAGCACTACGAGGTGACCAGGAGAATTTATATCGTAATGGGTTGTCACTAAATTCTGGCGCGGGTAGTCCACCACAGAACGATTCGAACGAAACGATTTTTCCTCCCAAAGCCTTTACTTCGTGCATACATTCTAGTGCTAGAAGATGATCGATGCCGGGATCTAAGCCAACCTCGTTGAGTATCGTAATTCCAGCGTTAACCGCGTCTTTATGTAAGCAGGTTAAATTATCCTTCGCATAACTGGCAGTTACCATGTTCGTCTTTTCACGGATACAAGCTTTGGCGACAATGGGATGAAGATCTCTCGGTAAAATGGAAACGGCAACATCTGCGTTTGCAACCAATTCCTGTACACCGGTGACACTTTCGAGGGCGTTTAAATAAACGCCTTCCACTCCCGGGAAGGTCTTTGCCAAGTTGTCGCTTAACTCCTTGTTTTCGCAAGCAACAGTTATCGCTATCGATGGATTTCTGTGGAGATATTCAACAAGAGGCGCTGCAACTCGACCGGCGCCAAAAATGACCACTCGTTTTTCAGGTTTGCCTTGTGCCGACTCTTTTTGGCGGCTCCTTCTGCAAGATCGAATTAGTACAAGATTATGGAATTATGATCAGTTACGTACATTGCTGATTCTCGCAAATCTCTGATGTATTCGAAATTAGGTGTCAATTTTCCGTCGCTAGCGATGATGGCCTGCGAATTTACAATTAGATACCTAAGTATAAATCGTGACGCGGAGCTCTTACCCCGTGAATGGTGGGCGAGAAGTGGTGACTGTCCAAAGGTTTGGAAGCGTCTGATTGTAAAATATCAGGTGTAAATGGCATAAGCAGATCGCCAAAGAAATCGGTACTTTCTCTAGGCAGTTGCGTGGGCATGTTATCAATACTGCAGACTAAAACGCCTGGGCCCTTAAAGCTTTTTGTGTCCTTATTTCTGTCCGCGTCATATAGACAGAAAGGTGTGTCAATTGTGGTGCACTCGTTCATGAATTCGATGGAACCGCCGGGATCTGCTGAGATATCGCAAATGCCCAACATGCGGTGTGGCAAAGCTGGCGCCCCCATTGAAGTGGGTAACCACGGTGTGTAAGCGGGACGTAGTAAGACTTTAGCATCTGGGATTGTTAGCAGCTTTGGACTATCCACCGCCCAATAAATACCATTTATGATCACAGAGGCGTACGGAGCAATTTTCTTACTAAAGGTTGAGACATACCTTTCGGGGTGTTCTTCATACTCCACATGATCAAATTTTCCCCCTCCTATACGTTCTAAGTAGTGTCGCCTTCTAACTTCACAGCCGTACACTTTATTTGGGTTACCATGTTCCGCCGCTTTTTGCAATAACTCCGGTGGAACGTATTCGTGTGGGAGTTCTTGGAATACCTCTTGGGAACCTTGGGAGACATTACCAGAACCGGTAAAAACAAAGGTCAGTGGACCGACAGATTTTGGCATTAATCCTAGAGAAACTTCGTATCCAGCATCACGTACCGCTTGCCTTGCCATACTGGAGTTTCGGTAATTGTGTGGAGGTCCAATGTGCATGAAGGGTGTGTGATGGCCGAGCGCCAAAAGACGAAGGCCTAGTCCATGAAGTATGTTGATCGTTCCGGCCACTCCTGCCATCTTCCCGAATGCAACGACACGCTGTCCTTTCTTGTCTACCAATTTCTCATAATCCAAAAGCCGAATGTTTTGTTCCAAAATTGCATCCAAAAGTGGCATATTACTTTCTTGCGCCTTAATCGTGTGAGAAAAAAAGCAAAACGTTCTATTGGGAATCAACTGATCGATAGGAACCTGCTTGACACCGAATATGATGCTTGCTTCGGAAATGTCTTCTTGAATGATTGCTCCTGCATTTAAGTACGCTTGCATCGGATAGGCTCTTCTGTTACTTGGCTGTACGATAACTCGCACGCCATTCTTCACCAATTTTCTGACATGGAGCGGAGAAAATGGTGCCCTTCTTTCCCATACGCTCTGATCTTCACGACGTATGGCTATGGTTTTCTGTGTGCCCTTTAACAAAACGAAAGATATTAAATTCTATACTTCTGGTACAATTTTAAAAACAAAAATAATTTATAAAAGTCGTAAAAATCGTTTTTAAGTTATCTTGTTAATTGAGACGGATGCACAGACAAAGATTCAGCATTTGTCCGGGAGTTTATGTTTTTAATATAATAGAAAACCGAGTCTCAAATGTAACTCATTCTTTCTGCGAAATATATGCTCTCTAGATTTTTTGAGAAAATATGCTATATAAATAAATTAAATTGTGAGTAGTTTTGGTTTTCATATCAACGCCGAAGTGATAAATAGTGAAATCCGTGCTCGCGCTATAAGTTTTCGTATTCTAAATGTGAGTACAAGTAAATGGTTCATAATAATTAACTATCATAAATTCATCAATGGGTAACCAATTTTACATAAATACGTTACTTTTAGTTACAATACGAAATACGATCCAAATTTCAAAACGGAAGTCACACTCTGTACTCTAACAGTGCGACCTTCATTGCTCAGCCAAACAAAGCAGTTGTCTGTAAAGTTCTGCCAGAGGAATATTATTATTATTATGTTAACGACATACACAATTTAATAAAATAATTACCTAAATTAAAACCCCTTTTTAAGACACCCTTACTCACTTTACCCTTGCGTCGGAACTCCCCCGAACAGTAATTTCAATAAGTACCTACACCCACGCAAGGAGTAAGGTGTACGATTTTTTATATTTTTTGTCACGAGCTCCCGAAGTGTTATGAAAGGACGTATTATGGAAAGTTTTCGGTCAGTAATCTGCTGAATGATTGATTACTATATAATGAACAACATAATGTAAAAATAAATAAAACGGAATTTTTTTCAGTTTTAACCTTAACATTGCCAAGTGGATCTCATTTATCAAACTATCATTTACTGTATTTCTAAATTAATTTTAATCAATGAACCGACAAACAAAAATCCTAACTTTTATTCGCACAAATATTTTCATAAATAGTATATGAAGTAAATATGGAAGGGATTTATTATTTGATTCATTTTATTATAACTAAAATTTAATATAAACATAGATCCGCAAACGCTTCGACACTGATCTACAGGGTGTTAAAATTTCAAGATTTTTTCTTTATATCTCCTGCAATTTTTGAGATATATCGCTCAAAATTGAAATATATGTTATTGGGTCATATGGAAGTGTTTACACGAGGATACTTTTTCATTGGCATTGAAAAGAGAGCAAAAGCGACTTTATATTTGTTCAAATTCATTTTTCTTACTTTTGATAGAAAAAATTAAAACGTTCATCTTAAAGCTTATGTTTTTGCCTTCATTAATCGCATTCGATACCTTATCAATGAGAGGCAAACATTTATATTACCTGATTATAAATTTCTATAAAAGTAGCTGTACTAAAAAAAATAAGCAGGCAAGTTGTTTCTAATCAGAAATATAACATGTACTCATTCATTTGTGATTTGAACCGAGCGTTTTTGGGGATTTTGTCTTAGGAATTTACATATAAAGTCATTCTAACATTCCTGAAGAGGCCAATTTACGGGAATTTATTCCGTAAACCATTTTTTATGAACGACAAGTGAATAAGCAAAGATATTGGTAGTCTTTCTCATTATAATGGTGAAATTGAATTTTAAGCGTGTAAATTTATTTTGAGTGGAATTTTGAGTTTTGTACCAAGTGTTAATTAATTCATACGAATATTTAAAAAAATCTATCCAATTAATTAGATTTATCATGAAAAATGTAAAGTAAACTGGAGTTGGAACGATTTTATTTTCAACAGTATAATTAAACAACTCAATTTATATGAGTACTTATTTGAGCGTGATCAAACCAGGGCACCAGGTTTTAATTTTCAGATTGTTAGTCGATATAAAGAACTAACTTTCCGCAATGTAAAAGTTTTTGAACATTTATTCATTACTGAGTTAGCCGTGTATTGTTTTTCATTACAAAAAATTTATTGTTACAGTAAAGTTTTTACCAGTGCCGTAGAGAATACAATTTATTTTCTATAAGAGGGGTTTATAACCCCTGTAAACGGAACTAGGTCGGTACAGGCTTAATATGTACCGGGTGACCCAATAAGACTGTTCCTCGGCTATATCTCGAGAACCGCTCGTCATATGACTTAGGGGTAAAAAAAATTATTTGGTAAATCGGTCATGAAGAATCGCTGGAAAATATTTTCAAGTTCTAACATTGACCAACAGAGGGCGTAACTGCCATCTTAAATTTGGAAAAACTCAGTCATTCCAAACACAAACATGGTATGGTATTGTTTTTGCAATAACCTGCTTTAACTTCTTAACCGTTTGACCGATGTTAACAAATTTGGTATGGTTGAAAAGAGCATTCCTTGGGCAATGAGAATCAATACAGTTAATTTAGTTGAATCCTTCTCCGCCAGGGGGCTAGTTTTGACACTATGACTCAAAATCCTAAAAAAATCATCTTGGGCCAAACCTAATTTGAAATCTTGGAAACATTATTTCTAGCGTCTCTTACAGATTTGTGCTGTGGGAGTACTATTGTTCCAGGACCTGCTAGACGAGATAGCTGAAATAAATTGGTAGGTATTGTAACGGTAGCTCCTAGTATGGTTCTGTAGGGTTTTAAGATTTTGTTTCTTATGTATTCCAGATATTCCGATACATATCGAAGCGCCATGAGAGTCATCGGCGATAAAGAACGAAGGCAGATGTAACGCAATCTTTCCGGGAAATATGACGTGTTTTATTATACAATATGCGTTCGGAAGCGTTCGCTATATAATCAAACCGAGTTGCGATTCAGTTAGTTCCAATTTCAACGGCGAAGCAATAAATATAGTTCGCGATGGTATAAATTGTGCAGATGTGAGTGATAAATAATATTTTGCTGTTATAAATCAATTAATTTCAAGACTGTCATAAATTCATTGTTAATCAATTATAAATAAATAAATCTTCTAATTAAATTCAATCAAGCACCTAGTAAAGTGTAAAACCAGACTAAATAATCTTCCTTAGGTAATTATTTTTTTTCTTCTAATATTAAATTTAAAGGTATAAAAATTTCGAAATGCCTCAAGGATATATTTTTTGAAACAAAAAATTCGTATCTTAAAAAAAATATGGGTTTATAGGTATACTCCCTTCAGCTAGGTATGCAATTCTGTATTTGAGTATTATTGGAGAAATATTGGACAAGTTACCTACCCAAAAATGTCTAACAGCTCTCTTACTTTCAAAAGCGACCACTTTGCTTTATGCACCTTGCGTGTATTATTGTGAACTATTAGATTTGACCTTACAGAATGTGGCCATTCCTAGGGCCATTTTTATTTCTCTCGATTTTGGCTTTTATTTGGTATTCTATGGATTTATTTGAGAACGATTTTGATCGGCCCAACACATACAAGGGGACAATGCATGTTTTACTCTCCGCGTTGTGATCCGAGGTCGAGTGTGGCTAGGGCTAGTGTATTGTTTTGAGGTGTATTTATTTACACGTGTTTCTTATTTGTTGTAGACCCTGTAGTTGTTTTTTACATTTCATGAAATTCAAGCTCTTCCTTAGGACGATTAGGTTCCTTTGTGTAACGGGAGCCCGCGAACGGGGTTTTTGTTACTTTATTGTTATTTTGTGATCAGTTAGCTGTAGAAAATAAGAATTTATGCTTAAACTCTTAATTAAGGAAAAAGTTCAAAACCTTGAAAATGTTATTTTTAAGTGGAACCGATTGAACTAGCTGTGAGGCAAATACAACATTACAATCGCCAATAATAATAGAAATAAATCGTAATTGAACGTAAGAATCAAAAGTTAAGTAACTATTTGGCTAATCTACACGACACAGGCTGTGGGCATGTGACATTTATTTTAAAATCCTCCCAAAAGTAATTTCCTTCTCGATTAATTAATTTTATTTGGAGCCACTTGCGTTTACCTATAGTCTAGTCCAATTTAGTATAATTATTCTTCGGTACGTTGCTATTTGTGCGAATTTTAATTTATGTCCAAGAAAGTACCATTTACTTACACCGAACAAAGAAGAATCTTATAGCTTTTTTAAGAACATAGTATTAATAGCAAAAACGCAATTAAATTTCATTACAACATACTTTTCGATAAGATATAAATAAACAGTACATAATTTTGTGCAAAAATTCAGAACGATAAACCTTTAAAGATTTTGTAATCTGAATGAAAAGACGGGTAGTAATTGTGATTACGATATTTACAATGCGATAAAGATTCATGGCAACTGCCAAATTTAAGCCTCCACGTTTTAAGTTTAACACTTTACAATAGTTAATTTCATCTTCACTGAATAGTAAAAGGGCAAGATATGAAGAGTAAGTGTATTCTGATTTGCATATAGCCGTAGGTACTAAAATATTCTAAAAAAAATAGAAAAATTTTCCGAATCAATAGATTTAAAAGGATCAAGAGTGACACCATGGCAGATTGAAGATGGTAGGTACTACAAAGTGGAGTAATAATTATGCTAATAAGTACTTACAAAATATTTCCGCCCCAAAGCTGCACGTACAGGTAACCTCCTAATTTTCAACATCGTTTATAAATTAAAATATTAATAAATGAGAATCTATAAAAAAATTTAAATCTCAGCGTTCACATCACCTCTGTTTCCCAAAAGTAACGTGTGCGCAAATTCTTTTACTACGACCAGATTATATTGAGCGGCAACGTATTATAGATCTAATCAAAAGTAGGAGGAAAAATTCTTATCATCTTAATTGACATAAAGTTATGCAAGTAATCACTAACCCTCGACCTTCCTTACGTTGAAACATAAATAGCAACGTCTCCATCCGCCTCGAGGATTTCCCCATAGTGTTCAAATAGTAATGTGTGCACCTAGTGGGAGATAACCGCAAAGAATCTGCATGGTGTCCAATTAATTATACGAACTCTGCAATTTAAAATGGTGGACGAATTTCCAGGACTCCCGTAAGGTCCATAGTAATGATTGAACTTGTATAGCGACAACAGTTCTAGAGAGCCCTCATCCTTTGATAGCGACTGATCTCGAGCAGTTGTTGGCACGTTGGTACACTTGTAGTACCTACTCGTAATTTCTAACTTATTGAAGGACGTTGCTTAGATAATATTCTTAATCAATTTCGAACAAATGGAGAAATTAAGCGGATCAAGATCGGCAAAACTTACGTGCTACACTCTTAAATCTGGGAGTTTAGCGATACAATGCTTTTGACAAAATAATCAATCCCAAACGCCTCCACTCTACAATCGAAACATAAAGGTGACTAGGTTTTTTTATCAATAACTACTTACACGAACATTACCTACTTAATGTTGTAGAATTCCACTAATCAATATCGAATGTTGGTCAAACTCGCCCAAACGTTAATAATCTAACAGAATGGAATAGGTATGCTACTGTCTATTTTTACAAAAAAAAATTCATTACCTAATTGTCGCCTGAGGAAGTCCTTGATCAGTGGATCAAAATCACCATAATTAGTCTCCAAATAGCGAATCCCATTGCAAGAAACTTCAGACTGCGACGTAAACACAAGATCCGGGTAATAATGAAATAGGAAAGAGACCTACAAATGTAAAATATTAAATTAAGAGGAACGATGAATCAATTGCTGATCCTAGTTAGTTCCGGATGCCCAGGTGACGATTCAGTCTGTACCAGTTTGTGGCAGGTGCAATTAGTACACCTCTGAAAAGTGAAACTGGGGTATTTCCAATAATCTGAAGACTATAAAAGTAATTCCTTTTTTTAAAATCAGGAGATAGTTAATAGTAGACCAATAGCTTTGTTGCCAATCTTTTCTAAGCCACTCGAAAAAGTTATGAAGGCAAGGCTAGTCAGTTTCTTATGCAAAAAAAGTTTGTTTTAGCAGTTCAGTACGACTTTCGAGAAGGCTTTAACACTGCAAAGACTTATATCTCAAATTTTGGACGGTCTAAATAGCTGTGGCACAAAGGTTGCTGGTTTTATATTCTGCTATATTTAAAAAAAAACATTTGTGCCAAATTGTTGACTCTGCAATAATCTTAAACAAACTTTTCGCAGCCGGTATATGTGGTGTTTCTAACCGGCTGGTTACTTTTCAACTCTTCCTACCGTTTCTTTCTCAAAATATTTTATTTAGGGGTGGTTCTTCTTACATAAAATAATTATTGTTGGGCGCCGACTAGCTTCAGTCGATGGTACTTTTCTGGCCTTGAGGAGATGGGAAAGGATAAATGAATAAAAATCAATAGTTTTTATTAAAACCTATTATATTCTTTTTCTCTTAGAAAATCGCCTTTTTGCTGTAAATAACACACGTCAAAAGAAATGGAGGCTGAGGCGGTACGTTTATGTAAAAGTAGGGTACTCATTTATTCACAAAAATTTACTGCATAGAAAGGAAAATCTGTCTTTATTACGTTAGTCAAAAATCAAAATATTTACTCTAAAACCGCCGAGTACAGAAAGAAACTTAATTCTTGTTTCATAAATTAGTATACAATTAGATTGAAAATCAAATCAAACTGCTGCAAATGCGTGTTGTAACGCCTCCAGGCACGAGTCGTTAAAATGGAAACAAACAGTGCTCACACGCACTTATTTGAAGGCAACCGTAGTAGGTGATTAAATCGCCTTTACAATAACACAAATTCAAACGACAATGCAATAGCCTACGACGGGGCGAACAACAAAGACGATAAACTACAAGCGATAATGTTACTGGTTTATAAACACCTTGAACGTCTATTGTTAATGTGCACTAGGATTCGGAATGCAGTCTTAGCCTCGCTCCGATCGATGTTGAAATCAAATGATCTCAACCCGCCCATTGTAAGCAGCTATTTGAATTTCGGTTCGGCCAATCACAGACCGGCCGGTTTCAACGCGACTTTTTCGGCATCCTCCATGTAGACCGTGCACGGACCGCGTGTAGAACAGAAAATGGAACTGCTCTTCGGAAATCTCGCAATCCTCCTAATTTTCTCCGGAGTGCCGTGAAGTGCCGATGTAGTGGCTGGATTGAGATGTTTTCGCTCGGTTCTTTCTCTCGATTTTCTTAAAAAAGTCGCCTCAATTCACTATTACAAGAAAACGCGCTTATGATTTACGGGCGCGACTGGCACAGATGTTGCCCCGTGAAAAGACGGCGAGCAACTCCCTCTCGCTACTGGAAATTTCCGTATTTATACTCTCGTAGTGTTTATCCCGTGGCCTCATTTCTGCGTATGCGCACAATCCACTTACGTTTATATAGACTGATCGCCCGCGAATAAAGCTTTTGAATCACGTTCTTTCGAAGTGTGATCTTATATGATCATGATTGCTAAAATCGTGAACAAACTGCACATAAAAGTTTTATGATCACGAATTCCTAACTTATAATTGCAAGGATATTTTTGCTCAAAAGGTTAGCCAATATTTGTAGCTGAAGAGGAATGGTGCAAGTACTTCCACTTGTATTTAAATTATTTTCATAATCCAAACAAAAAATACGTAATTCGAATGCAAATGTGTACTACGTAAACTTAACCATACTTTGATTTAAATTCGCGCGTTCTTTCGTAAAACGTGATACTACGAATCACGATCTTGAAATCATGATCGCGAAGTAGCCGAAAGAAAGTGCTTATTCATACTTGGGGGTCATGATTATATTTAGACTTCACATTTCAATTACGTAAAAATGAACCTGAACCTGAACAGAAATACTGTTACATGTTCCTCAAGGATCAGTTCTTGAGCCGTTGCTATTTCGCATAATAAACAAAAAAAATTTATTCACATTTTTAAAGAACCAATTTATTTTTTATAATTTTCGTAAAAACAAAAACTCAGTAATTTCAAAAACAAAGATGGTGTGGGGCGTCCAATTGTTTTTGCAATAACCTGCTTTAACTTGTTAACCGTTTGACCGATTTTAACAAATTTGGTATGGTTGAAAACAGCATTCCTTGGGCAATGAGAATCAACCATAGTTAATTTAGTTGAATCCTTCTCCACCAGGAAGCTAATTTTGACATTATCATAAAATCATAAAAAAAAGGGAATGATATGACCTTTTCTTTATGAAAAAGTAGCCAAATAACATCCAAAGAGGACAGTGAAAACCGTTTTTCAAAATCTCGTTCCTAACCTCAAATATTGGAGAAATGAGATTAATTAATTAATTAATAAAAATGCTTAACTTGTATCTTAAATTTAGTTTTTACATATTTCCGGTATTTATCAATGGCGCAAAAAAAGGGCCCTACACTTTTAGGTAGGTCTTGGAAAATTAAACAAATGAAACACGATGCATTATAAAATAATAACAGCCATAATTTGTAAATTATTCTGCTGTGTTTACGCATTCAGAAAGTGCAGTTTTTTGAATTTGTAATCTTTTCTAAAATGCCGATTTCTAATCAAGAAGCATTTAATATGCTGGCGATATATTTTAAGTATTTTCAAAATGCGACCATCGCTGCCCGCATCTTCTCTTTGCGTTATCCGACTACGAACCATCGCCGCCAGTATATTAAACGCTTCTTGGTTAGAAATCGGCATTTTAGACTAGCCCCCTAGCGGAGTAGGATTCAACTAAATTAACTATATTTTGATTCTTGTTTCCCAAAGAATGCTCTTTTCAACGATACCAAATTTGTTACAATCGGTCAAACGGTTAAGAGGTTAAAGCAGGTTATTGCAAAAACAATTGAACGCCCCACGCCATCTTTGTTTTTGAAATAACTGAGTTTTTGTTTTTACGAAAATGATAGATAAACTGGTTCTCTTTAAAAATGTGAAAAAAGAATGTTTAGTTTATTATGCGAAATTTAAAGAAAATGCAATTTTAAAATTTAAGACGGCAGTTACGCCCTCTGGTGGTCATACGACAAACGATTCCCGAGATATGACCGAGGAACAGTCTTATTGTTGAGTCACGCGGTACAGTATTAAAGTATTATATGCGGGTCAATCTGTAATTGGGCGAAAGCCGGTTGAGGGCCCATAACAAGAGGGGGACAATAAATAAATAAATATCGAAATCTTGTCATAAACTTCGAGTAGGTGGTAATATTGGTAGAATGAAGTAGATTCAGGTGGTTAATGTGGGTAGGGTTTCTCAAGTCGGTAATGTCCACGGCGTAACGCGCGCCAATACCAATCCTAATAAGATGACGGGTCCAACTAGAAATGTCATTGACGTACTGCGTAGGTAGTAGGAATATATATCTAGGTAAATACCAAGGATGCTATGGTAATGGTAAATACAACGTAAAAGGTAATCTAAAAGAAAAACTTATGAGAAGAGAAAGAGAAGCCACTCCAAAGATAAATGGTGACATCCAAAATACATATCCTTTATCCACGAAAAAAAAGTCAGTTTTTACTGGTAATGGCATACAAAAGAAAAATTTGCATGTAAGCAATACGAAAGCAGAAACGTCACTGAAGGGAAACAAATACAACTGAGCACAATACTAAACTTGAGAAGGGATAGAATTAGGTACATACAGAAAAGTACAAAGCGTCAACTCTAGACAAGAAGTATCGTAAAAAGAATCTAAAATGGCCTCTATCGGCAAACTAAAGAACTAAAGTAATAAGAAAGCTATAACACTTAGAACAAATTAACTACAGAACTAGTGGATTACAAAGAAAATACCTAGATGGCGTAAGAATATTAAAACCTATACATTAGAACAAGAATTTAAATAAGAGCACAAATCGAGCAACTATCTGTTTAGTTGTTCGCTGATGATGATTTATTATAGTTCTATTGTTTGTTAGTGATTTTGTTTCAGTGTTTGTTCATACACCTCGTCTGGGCTGCGTCTATTGTTAAAGATCCGTTGCATTGTTGTCAGTCTGTCCGTCCATCTGCACGATACTTTTTTAAAAGTGGTCGATCGTGTTGAAATTTGACGCACAGGAAAATTTATTTTCTAAAATTATAGAAATAAATAAATTTCCAAGAAAACAAATGGTAATAATACTGCAGATCCTTTGACATTCCATTGTATCGGTTACTGATAACAGTGATGACGAATGATTTCACAGCGACCAACGTCGCCTTGGGTGTATTAAGTATTAACATTAAGTATCGGAAAAATAGGCATTTCTTGAAAAAAATGGCAGAAAATTCAAGATTTTACTTTACTAACTTATGTGTTTTATCGTTTCCCCGACGAAATTGGCTCCTAATGGAAATTCTGCTCCATGAACTTACGCCGATGTGTACTTCTCTTCCCGATCATTCCAATCGCTACATCCGTGTCAGATACGTTTCATTTTTATTAAGCGGTAGAGCAAAGGGATGAATGCTTTATAGGGGAGTAGATGGTGTCCGTCTGTCTGTCCGTCCGTCCGTCCGTGAACACGATAACTGTCAAACGCGTGGACCGATTTGGTACAAACTTTGCATAGTTGACCTATATGCCACAAGTAATAAGCCTATTGAAAATGGGTCAAATCCAAAGACCCCGTAGGGTCGCACCGAGGTGCTTGCCGCTTTTTTAGATGCTGTTTAGCAGTTTATTTGTGTCTGCTATATAACTTTAAAAAAGTCATCCACAAATGAGAATTCTCGATACTCGCCAGTCGCAATTAGTTTTACGTGGCACAGCTGCACTCCTCAGGGAACGTAACTTTCAATGTGAGCCACTTTCAAAGTGGACGAACGGACGTATGTGAATATCTGTACACTACCCTAAAAATAGGGTTAAGGGAGATAGTTTGTAGGTATCATTTAATTCAGGAAGTATATGCACTACGTTTTACTTATGTACATTAAAGAGTATTGTTTAGATAAAATAAATGAATGTCAAGTTAATGGTAATGAATGGACAATTGTTGCCTGTTTATAGATTACACTGGGGGAAAAAATAAGGTTAGCTACAGCACATGTTTCTTATATCAGTTGCCATCAAGTCTAGAAAAACCAAGGCAATTTTTTAAAGAGACTAATATGCGTATATATTGTGACAGGGTTTAAATAAACACAAATCCATTAGATTTTTGTGAGTACATATGTTTCAGGATGTGGACCACACGCGTGAAATTCTGGGATTGATCGGGATAATTAAATGTGGAGTACCTAATACCCGCTTACTTAGCGGTATTAAATTTCCCCTAAAAGACGTTTTGTTGACTTTCGTTAGAGTTACGTAGTTTCGATATCAAATCGAAAAATTACCCCTTATCGATATCTGCTGGCGCATAAATATTTTAGTGGCGCGTTTCTAACAATGAAAAATTATTAATAAAACATAGGTATCTTTATTGTTTGATTTACGCTTTGTCATTTCGTGGCCGAACATGGAAACGTCGACACACCCGACTAGAAAATTTGCGTCAATTTGGGTGGAAAAAATGAAATTGAAACGACGGATCGCACCGCATGAGGAATCACAGAATTTACCATTTGTTAAAATCTTGACCTCATTTTTGAAGCTGTTTCTTTCTGTGAGTACAATTCACGGATTTGTTCATGTTACAGCGGAAAAACGACATCCTTCAGAAGCGATAATATGGCTTGCGCTGATCGGTACCGGAGTCTTCGGCGCAAGCATTCTCAGTAGCGCGACATGGAAAAGATACCAAGAGAACCCCACCGTCATATCCATGGAGAGGGATCGTTTCACATGGAACACCTCATTTCCTGCGGCGACAATTTGTCCTACATCAAAAGTTCACGAAGATCTATTAAAAGGTGTATTACAGAATATCAACGTGAAAAATAAAACCGCATTGGAAGCGTTTCTGCGTACACTCGCCGAAGCCAACTACAAAAACTTTGATAAAGTTTTGCCCTACTACGAATTGCCAAGTGAGCAGTTCATGAAGATTCTGCTTCAATTACAGTACGAATTTAAGCCGTTGGTATCGAATTCTGGCTTGCAAAGTAACAAGTACTATTTGGAAAAAACCATAACGGAAATGGGAATTTGCTACAGTTACAACTCGAACCTTGCCATCTACAACTCGCCAAGGTAAGGTCATTATGGAACGTTCTCATATAGGTAACTCTTGCAACCTCGTAGCTATAGAGAAAAAAAGTTATGGACAGTCTACACAGAAACACGTACACTTTTTGTTCATCCTTTAGATGGAGAGATCTTCGCGAACGTCGTAAATATGTCAACGGGATTTCACGTAAGCTGTAATTTGCTCAACATTGGATCGCGTATTCCTAAATTTTTGATGCGTTTTAACGATATGCATTGGTAGTGAGAATCCAACAATTCTTGAAAAATCTTGCGCTAGTTGCGCAATGCCCAAAAGAATCACTTCTTTCTTCGGAAATATCGCAAACAGTATTTATAAATTTAAGAGCAATAGATTTCCGATTAAAGAACACATCCACTACCACAACGTATTTAGAGGCGCGAGCTATAACTTTTTGATAACGTAATTTAAAACTAGCATCATCTACCGTAAGTGCCAAATCATTCGACAAGACGCTTTCTGCTTAGTTCCTTGTAATGGTTTACTCGTGATTTTTGGAAACAACGTGCACTTAGTAGGTACTTTATTTTATGTTTAACACATTTTTCTAAATTGGACAAGTAGCTATTGTGAATACTTTAGTTCGCCCGTCCACCCACCCGTGTCGCACACTACTTTTTATAAGAAAGTGCTATCGACCTGAAACTTTGGCAAAGGATCCCAGTAGAACACATGCACCATTGGTCCAAGGTCATGGCCTTGAGTGTAGGCTCAAGCTCGTGGTCTTGGTGAGTTGGATTTTGGTCGTAGTCTGCAGCTTCCCAAGCTGCGCAGCTAAGAAGTGGCCTTGTTTTATAGTGCAAGAGCGTGCCTGTGATTTCGCCGACGGAAACAGTCAGGGCTTTAGTGACGGGGATTTTTGGTTGCGTAAATAAGGAGTTACTTTGCATATTGGAGCAGTGCCGTAACTAAGGCGTGACCTTCTGGCGAGGTGCAAGGTCGTGACATAGGATTTTCCAGTACTGTACTTAAGGCGTTATCTTGGGGAAGATAGCGTTAGGATGCCAGAAGCACCTTTTTGCATTCGTTAGCTTAATTTCGATTCCTCATATCTCAAATTTGATCAAAATCGTATGAGTACTTTAGGAGACAAGCGTTAGGGATACCAAAAGGGCAACGCTACTATTAAAAGATAAAAAATTATTCAAAACAAGTAAGTGTTACAACAAGGGCCCGTATGAATAAAAATAAGCAAATGGTTAGGTATACTTGCAAAATTCAAAGTAAATACTCGTAAGTGCTCCTTCGCACTGGGCGACTTAGCAGCGATTCTACGCAGAAGGACAGGACGCAATGCAGCGCTGCTAAGCAGACCAGTATGAAGGGGCAGTTATGAGTATTTACTTTGAATTTTGCAAGTATAAGCATTTGCTTATTTTTATTCATACGGGCCAAGGTTTTGCACTTACAAGGATGCACAGATAATAATAATCGCTTTAACTTTTAGGTATGTATGAGAAACTAATAAAACTGGTAATACGCTAATGTTAAAGTGTGTGCGGCCGATTGAAAACTAACGAGAAACACCTTTGTACACTTTTACACCATAATTAGGACCGTGTTTTGGTACCAAAATGTATTCGAAAAACAATAGGTTTTAAGTTTAGGAAGATATTTAAAATAAGTTCCAAAACTTGTAAAAGTTTTCGAGTTGAATTTTATAGGCCGATAAAAAAGATTAGTGTAAATCTCTTCATGTTAGGAAGATATTTTAAAATACGTATCAGGACTTCTTAAAAGCTATTGTTTTTCAAAGACGTTTGGAAAAAACCACCTTCCTAATTAGTAATTACGGTGTAAAAGTAACCCTTTCCATTTCTCGTTAGTCTCCAATTGTCAGTACTCGCTTTAACATTAACGTATTACCAGTTTTATTAATTTCTCATCATTTCCTAAAAGTTTATGCGATTATAGTGATATTATTGTCCGTGCAACGTTTCGCGAGTGAATACTTTTTGTGATCTTTATAACATGTAAGTACAGAATTACGCATTATAGACACATAAACTCAACACCTACACATTACACCACTTCTACTCCGAACTCAATCCGATTTTAATGTGTAACTTGTCCAGGTCTTCGAGTCAAATATGTCCAAGTGATTTTTTACAATAATATTTGTTATTCAGCACAATTATCTGACGCTAAGGTCTGATGATGAATCGGATTTGATTCGAAATCGATAACCTAGAGAGAAATTAAGTTCAATTATTTGAAAACGAGTTTTATTAGGTATATCAACTATATTATACTTACAAATAATTCATATGGAGCGCTACATTGACAAAATAAATACAGAACCTTCTTTTTAGCGCATTTTCCTTAGCGCATTTTCCAACGAAGTTGGGTGCAGCCACTTTCTCTGTCCGTCCGTCTGTCCGAGGCCTTAACTAGTTCGTTCTTTTTGCATTCGGTAGCGTATCGCTCTGGCATCAGAGTCAAGGAAAATCTTGACGATTGAACTGCGCATGCGCAGGCTGCGCAATGTTAACTTTTTTTATTTATTAATATATTTTGTTGAAATTTTAATCACAGATACTTGTAGTAAAGGCAAATATATCGCATATAGTAAAAATCAGATGTCCGCATGCGCAGACTGCGCGATGCCAACCTTATTTATGGAGATATTTCTTTGAAATTTGAACCAAAGATGCTTATAGTAAAAGCAAACGTATTGCATATTGTAAAAATCAGATTAATAAGCGCATGCGCAGGACGCTAACGATATCTTCACCAAAGTCACGCGTTAAGTTACAGAATTGGGAAATCCCCTTGACTCAAGGCATGACTTTACGTCGGGGAAATCCCAGAGTTCGACCTTGCACTATAAAACAAGGTCATTTAGTTACGCAACCGGGAAACCCTAGACTACAATCTGGAACCAAAATCTAAGACCTTGGACCAAAATCTAAAGCCACGACCTTGGACCAAAATCGAAGGCCACGTCATTGGGTCAAAATTCAAGCTCACGACCTTGTGATGTCACAATATTCAAGATGGCGTAAGGTAGCCGTGTTCTACTGATACCTTATAGTAATGACCTCTGAAAGAGAAAGTGTTCGTCCTTCCGTATATACGATTATGTATTCGTTTACTCGTTAATGGTATGATAGCAATAGGTATAGTGTTATTCACAAAACGAAAGCGTTCAGTTAAAAATAAGGTTTCAACAAACGCTTGGACCCATACATTTTAGTTTCGAAGGAAACCTTGCACAAAACTTGCTCAGTTTCCACCCCCTCGGGCTGTACCTAATTATAATCCCTTAAAGTTGTATAGTAGGGTAAGTGAGTGTAAAAAATATATTCTTGGGCGGAAATGACTAGTGCGTCCGATAAATTTTTTTAGCAAATATTTGTGTTCTTTATTACTATTCAAATGAAGAAAATTTTTGAGCGCCCTCAAAGGAAAACTGTAAGGATTAGGATACAGAAAAATGTGATTACCTCATTTACAGTAGCGAAATCCCCGAAACTCGAGTACAAACTATGCTGCTGGTATGACTCCTAAAGGTTGACGAACAAATAATCAAATGGATGGCAACTCGTGGACCTCGTAAAGGAGTGCGACTTGGCCTTTTTGAATTTTCACTCGATAGCACAAAATAACGTGATCCGTCGAGATACGAGGATATCATTCAAATGTGCAATAGCGGCAAGCGGCCGCCGGACGCGATGCAGTCCTGAAATCCGCGCAATTAAAAACTTCTGTTGTCTGTAATTCACGATTAATTTCCGCCATCACAACTTTTCTTGAAATTGACAAGTTCAAAACTTTACTCGTTAACAATTCAATTGTACAGTTCGAAATTTTAGCTAATTATTTTTTCATCGCAAGGAAATCAAGTGATAGTGAATATTTTCCTCGGAATTTGGGGTATGAAATATCCCCTTGATTTTTTAATTATAAGATTTACCGTAAAACCATTCCAGATAGTGTTAGAACTTAGTGTTAGATCCGACCCTCCACAAGAAAATTTGTTTGCATTTCTCAATTTCAATTTACCTAACGCCGGCGTTTGTATTTTTCAGCTCCCGTTTAGCTGCCCCCCCCCCCCCCAAATTTATTAGAATAAATTGCAGAACTCTTAATGCATGGCCTCCCAATTCCAAGCTCCAACGGAACGAATTTTTAGTGACATTTTCCAGTTCAGATCAGTTTCGAGCATTCTACCGGCTACTCCGAACTAAATTTTCCGAGCGCTTCAGCTTGTTTGGTTTATAGAAATTATTTTTTATTGGAACTAACATTTTCTAAAAGAGGTTGTGTTCTGAATAAACCACATGCTAGCTTTAAAAATTTGCGTAATGAATGAAAAGAATGCTAAGTAAGTCCAGATCTTTTCAAATTCGATGAATACAATATTGTTGGTACAAACATTGTCAAGAAGGGCTATTTTTTCCATACTTTTGAGTTCTAGTAAGGTTGCGGATAACCTTTGAAGTTCTGAAGGTTTTTTTGAATAAGGTATTCGCACTCTTGTAAAGGTTTCATCAATGGTTTTAAGCTGGAAGAATGCAATAAAGAAACTACTGTTTTTCTAACCTTTACCATTGGAGATATTTGGTACAATTTTAAAGTTTGTAAAGTGTGGAATGGTCTTCCAACAGTTCCACAACTTTTTGCAAACAAGTTTTGCATTTAACCTAAAAATAGGATGCCTTACCATGTTAACGCTTCTCAGCGGGAGGGACATGCCCCCCAGTAAGAGAAGCGTTACTGTACTCTGAAAGAAAGGGGTCAGTTTCATTATCGGTTTTTTGAAATTGTACAAACTAGCCAAGCTGCGGTCTTTCATTTCTACAGTAAAATTTCAAACACCTCATAACATTTAAATGATTCACTTACAGATTTATTTACACGGCCCCTATGAAGTTGTGGACATCGCGAGCAAAAGTCTGTATTCCCCGGACGGATTCTTCTTGCAGCTGTATTTGTCAGCTTTAACCATATTTACGAGTCAGGGCGCGAGGGAGCTGGCAATTAACCAAAGAAAGTGCCAGTTCTACCACGAGAGCAATCTCCGTCACTCCCCCGTCTATTCCTACCTTCTCTGCAGAATGGAATGCCGTATCACTCTGTCCAAACGTTTGTGCGGATGCATACCGCACTTCTACAGGAATTTGGGTTTGAGCATCGATAGGTATACTCGTTACGTCACTCTCATAATTTTTGTTGTAGCCGACGATCGCGTCTGCAATGCGAGCGGTTTGCACTGCTTGTCGAAATATTCGGGTTCGTTCCTCTCACTTCGGAAGGTGTTACGAATTTGTGTTCCAGATCGGCTAATTACTCTAAAAAGGGACTGCTCTTGCTATTCCAATTGTGACGAAGTGAATTACGTGATAGAGGATAAAGATACGCGAGAATGGTTTTTGGGATCCAATTTGCAGTGGGGATTGAAAGAATATCCAAGGATGCGACTTAGGAGAGACGTCATTTTTAGATTCACGGATGTGCTAGGTATGTAGTCAGTTTGGTGCGTTTTCCAAAACAGAATTGATTGTAACTTTTACAGTTTACATTGGTGGAATGGCTGGATTGTTTTTGGGATGTAGCGTGCTAAGCTTTTTGGAAATTGTGTACTTTTTCACACTTCGTTTGTTTTGGTTTGTTACAAAATATGAAACTGGAAATGCTGTTAAATGAAGATGAACGCTGGTACACTATATGCACAATGTTTAATAAACTTTGGCACTTCTGGCATACTTATACTAGATAATGAATGCGTAACATACACCGAAGCCACTAAGTTGTGATCTTTCTGACTGTAGCACGTCATTGTATATCCACAGGTGTTTAAAAAATAACCATTTCTTTAGTCAAGTTAAAGTCTTTTTTATCCTATACAAGGAGAAACTTACATTTTCTCGCCTGTGTGAGGACGCGAAAGAAGACAATTGCACGCATGGAGCGAGAAAATTCAATTTTGTCGGCTAGGCGAGAAAAAAAATACGCCTTATGTAAGCTAGATGGCGCGGTTGTAATAAAATGTCAAAGAAGTTATTTCTTTTTAATTAAATAAGCAACATAAAATCGTCAACATTGATTATTTAATAATTAAATTTACCCTATGTTCACTTTATTTTACTGAATTCAAGAATTTATTTAATTACCGCGAACCTATACCTATCAATGTTTCGTGAATTTGAATACTTTCCCAATATCACGTGACCAATTCAAACGTTTCAAACTTAAGTCATAATCTCCCATTTACTTTCAATAACGAGCATCTGTGTCAATACATTTAACACCAAGATGTACTTTGCACTGTAAGTAGAACACCGCTTATCCGCAATAAGTAGCATTTTAACATACGAGACTACCCCGAAGTTAAAATGTGTCCAGTGTGACTGTAAGGAATGAATAAATGTATTTATAAAACACACATTTTTTTAAAATACAAGATCATCAAGGATTTAAAGTGTGCCCATTGCGCTTTCGTCGCCAAGCATAAATCCAGTCTTAAAAGCATCTACATTTGACAAGACATGGATACTGCGAAGGATTTAAAATGTAACCGGTGTGATTTTGTCCCTGAAAACACACATTCAATTTTAAAACACATTTGTTAATACACAAGACCAGTAATAATTTCAAATGCGCCTGGTATTAATTACAACCCCTTAAATCCCGTTATTTTCTAAGGAAATAATCACGCGCCAGTGAAATGCCGGAAATGTCAACTCAGTTCGCACATGATCGGTATTCTCCACTTGCACTCTGCTCTGTTGCACCGTGACTCCCTTCGGTGACTCCGCACTGTGCAATCGCAAGCGCGCTAGAATTTGAATTTGCGTTGAACTGTATTATAAGGGAAAGGGGTAAATCTACGAGTAAAAAATATACTCGTGGACCCACTTAGATTGCACCGTTTCGTAAAATTTTCGCGTAGTCAGCAGGAAACGTGGAAATAAACAAAACAAACGCGTGCACGTTGACGCGTTAAAGCAAATCCAAATTCAAGCGCTTGCGGTCGGACGTTGTTGAGGGATTAATTTTAAATGTAAGTGTATAGGATAAAAAATATTGTGTGCACCACGGCACGAAAGTTGTTTTCCGGGCCTCAGGAAGTGGCCAGCCTCGGCTGCGCCTCGCCTGGCCATATCTTCCTTCGCCCCGGAAAACAACCACTTTCCCGCCTTGGTACACAAAGTACTATTATTGCACCTGTACGAGATCAAGAAGACAATTTAATCTCTATTTTACAGGCCCGAAGTTGTTCATTTTGTTCCCAAGAGGGAATACATTTTCATTCAATCTCTTGGGATTACATAATAATAGCATATATCAAGGGATTAAGGTGAATGCTTTTATAAGCCTTGTGGCAGACGGACAGACACCGCCAAAATTATGAACTCGTTAGGAGCTCGTTAATAAAGATTTTGCTTTACTACTTTAATTTCGACTATTATCAGAAAGAGATGACATAATTTAGACCCTCTCTCACAAAATCAAATTGTATTGTCCCATTGCGAATGACATTTGTGAATGCATGTAGATTTTGCTCTACCAACCTAATTTCGACCTTATCCAAAGAAAGATGGCATATAATTTAGTTCCTCCCTGTGAAGTCAATGAGTAAATAAACTGTTTCAAACCAGTATAGACAACGAGCCACAAACACAGACGAACGGATCGAAAATCCAAATGACCAAAACTTGATCAGTTGGTCCCTTGACCATTGACTACCTACTGAAAACAGAATTGGAAAATTAGAAACCGTTCGCGAGTTATCATATACACAAACGGATGGACGGACGAACAGAGAGCCCAAAGTCATGAACGAGCTGGACCGCTCGTTATTAAATGCTAATGGTATTTCCAAGGGTGCAATAAGAGAATGTGGGAGCGTACTGACATCGTCTCCAATTTATTTATTAATAAGCTCCTAGGCGAGTTCATGATCCGTCCGTCCGTCTGTGTATATGATAACCCGCGAACGGTTTCAAATTTTCCAATTCTGTTTTCAGTATTATGTTTATCAACACCCAAGGAAGAACTGATTAAATTTTGAGTAACCTAGGAGCTCGTTTGCTATATTTATTACAAGTTTATCCGAAGTGTCTATGTACTCTGCATAATGAAAGTAGTCAGTTTAAAACGGGAACACTGTCAAGGAAATGCCCAGGATCGTCATTATGAATTGTCTGGTAACCGGCCTGATTCGATCTAATTATTTTGTATCTATTTGAAGCCTGGAGTAATTATTATCCAAGGGTGAATATTCTCGGAAGCAAATACTTCAGTGGCGAATATTAACTGGGTAAATATTAAGAAATGAAAGCCAAACATTTAAATTTAAGAAATTGTATTCTTTCGATTCTTTAATTTTTCACGATTCTTCGGCTGCATTGGATTCGGCAGATCTCCTTCTTCAGATTCTTATCTTGTTCGAATTCTTCTCTGTTCCCTTGATTCTTTTTAGTTTCTAATAGGTCTACATATTTTTCGCATTTTTCTGTCTCTTCAAACTTTTCAGGTGTGTATGTTGTGCCTATTCGTCCAACTCTTCAAAATTTTCTAATGCTCTAGTGTCAGTTTCTTCCAATTTTGTTTGATGTCCGAAATTGTTTATATTATTAGATTGTTTGAATTCGAGTCTTCAGATTCTAATTTTTTTAAGATTTTTAGGATTTCTCCGTTTTTTCAGATTCTTCAAACTCTCTTCAAATCTTGAAAGTCACCAAAACCTTGGGATTCTTAGGTTTTTTTTGGTTTCTTCAAATTTCTGCAATTTACACAAATTACACTCATCATATACTTCGTACCTTTCTAATACTTAAATTCTCCTGTTTTTCTAATGGTTTTATTTGTTCATCCAGGGTTTTTCGAACACTACAGAAACTTCCAATTCTTCAGATTCTCCGACTTGTTCGAACTTTTCAGACTCCTCTATTTCTTTGGATATTTAGATTCTTCAGTTGCTTTAGATTTGTTAAGTTTCTCAGGTTGTTTGGACTTTTCCGTTTCTTTACAACTTCCATGTTCAGCTTTCAAATTCTTGTTGTTCTTTCGTAAATCAAGCATCCATAAGACTCTTCAGGTTCTTCCGTTTTTTCTTAACACTTACATTCTTTTGATTATTCAAATTTTTCGAGCTCTACAAATCCAGATTGTTCTTCTTCTTCGTCCGTTTCTTTGAATCATTTCATTTTCTTCTAGCGATTAAGATTCTCCGCATCTTTCTGTTTTTTCTTTGAGATTCGTCTGTTCTTCCGATTCGCCGGCATTTAGTTTCTTCATATTCTTCAAAAATTATTTTAGGAAAAGTGGTTTGCATTTTGCTCTGTTACATTTTCTCGATACCTATGCCATCAGATATATGTTTCGTCCAGATAATTCAACTGCCTTTTGAGAGTACTCTTCTCCGACATTAAAATTAACCGAATGCGTTTATGTGATGGCAATGCTCACGCGAACGCTTTTCTTTGTTTTTTTTTAAACCCGCGGTTTCGAAAAAACTACCAACAACCTATACTCTTTTCAAACCAAAATTAATTTCAATTGTATAATCCACTGCTCCAGCCGTTGCTATACTCGGAATTTTACAGTCTTGTAATGACGTCATTTTTGTCTATCCTTGTTTAACTAATGTAAAATGACAATGACAAAAAATTTTGCCGAAATGTTGTTGTGGCTAAATTTTACCTGAAATGCTTGTCAAGTGATTGTCAGTTTTGAAGTTTTGAAAACGCCAAAGCGTCAAAACATGCCGCCAAAAACCCTCATCGATTTAACGAACAAACACAGTTAATAATTCTAAATGTGTTGGCTTTCTTTCAAATTGAACAGGAACAAGTTCGGAATGGCATACCACTAGACATCAACAATGTTATACAGCGAACTGCACAAGCAACGAAAGTCAGCCCAACAACCATTTCAAATTTGAGAAAAAATGGTGTAAAATCCGACAAAGATTACGCATCTAATGTCTCTACCAAGCAAAAGATTAACAAGACGAAAATCACAGAATATTTGAAGAATAAAATTCGGGATACAATCTATTATACGTACTCCCAAAAGGAATATGTTACACTGGCAACTATTAGACAAAAATTTCTGGAGCAAAACGAATATTTTCAATTTTCCATTGATTCATTGAGAAAGTGGATCAAAAGTATGGGTTTTAAATGGAAGAAGTCCAATAACAGAAAATATCTTATGGATTTACCGGATATTGTCCACAAACGAATAAAATTCTTAAGGGAGTACATTGAAAACAAAAATTTGGGACATGAGGGTTATACTCCGGTTTTTATGGATGAAACCTGGATATTTAGTAAGGGATCATTTCGAAACAGCTGGCAAGATGATACTAAGCACACGGAATCAATTAAACCCAATGAAGGTAAAATAAGATATTATAATACCTTTTCAATATTATTAAAAGAGATATTCTTTAGGTCATCGATACATTATTGTCCACGCTGGGACGAACGATGGCTTTATTGGTGGGGCAAGTTTGAATTTTTAAAAGTGGAAAAAAACAGGGGACTATCATGATAATATGAACAGGGGTAATTTTGAAAATTGGTTCAAGACTCAACTGGTGCCAAATCTTCCTGAAAAATCTTTAATTATTATGGACAACGCAAGCTACCATTCTGGCCTTTTAGAGAAAATTCCCACCAAATCATGGACAAAACAAAGAATGATAGAATGGTTAGGGGAAAAAAATATCGGCTATCCAGAAAAGGCAATGAAGGATCAAATATGGAGCATTGTCAGCGCAAACTGCCCCAAAGAGAAAAAGTACTACCTTGATGAATATGTTAAGCCTTTAGGACATAAAATTTTACGGTTACCGCCATACCACTGCCAATTTAATGCGATTGAAATGGTGTGGTCTCAGTGTAAACGAAAATACGATCAGTACATTGCAAATTTTAAGGGATCACCACAAGAGGTTTTGGCAACATGGGAAAGGGTTATCGGGGAGATTTCTAGGGATAATTGGGAGAAATACGTAAACCATACGGACAAAGTAATACAAGAGGCTTGGGGAGCAGTACAAGTTTGTGATGCTTCTGACATCCCACCTCTTGTTATCACTACAGACGCAGATGACGACCTTACTGACGACGAATACTTTGATTTTGACTCTGACGATACGGACGAGGGCGACTAATTTTCTTCTAATACTGTGACCATTACAATCGCAATAAATTGGCATTGGTATATTTTTGTTTTACGATTTTGATTTTCCAACTATTCATCAAGGTAGTGCAATTTTTTCTTGTGTAGATGTGGTTTCGATAGTGGTTCTTTGAATTTTTATGTACTCCTCTACTAATTATTTTTTGGGTCTTTTCGGGAGTATTGATTCCTAAATAATATTCTGTGATTTTCGTTTTGTTAATCTTTATTTATTTAAAAACAAAAATATGTTAATATTACTTATATGTTAGTTGAGCAAGTTATTAAAATAATTAGTGAGTAAATGACCTTTTTTGAAATACTAACATTTTATCCATCGCGGTTTCGCTCGCAAAAAATATGAACTATTCGCATTTTTTAACATGTTAAAAATTTATTTTCGATATCTTCAGTCGTTTAGGCTGTGCGTTGATATCTCAGTCAGTCAGTCAGTTAATTAGGACTTCTTCTTTTATTAAGACCTATAGATTTCTTGTGGAAATTGACTTAATTATTATCAAAAAATGCTAAAATATTATGTACACCACTGTATAGTAAAAGTCATACAGGTAATTAGACACCAGTAGTCAGTTACTTAGCAACAAATAAATTTAATAGGACATACGTTTTTTCCCACGAAAATGACGTCATTACACGACTGTAAAATTCCGAATTCCGAGTATAACAGTAGGGCACAGTTTGCGCTGGCATTTATCTCAATCAACCCGCTGTATAAACGGCCCGACTAGCTCAGGGTTATAAAATAAAAAAACAAAAGCCTGAGGAATCTCCCACAGGCGGTAGTTCGTCTGGGTTAGGGGAGACTGTTGCATACTGGGACAATATTTTACAAGTGACTGTTAAAATTATCCTTTATGCTTTTTTCCAGTTTTTGTTGCTTTAGCATTATGAGAACAACAAAAGGTTATGAGAAATTAATAAGAAAAAAAATGTTACATAAATTTGAACGAACAGGACCGCAGTCCCACTATACACCCTCATCCCACTATGCAACAACCCCCTGTTTCATACTGGGACTGAGGCATGTTCATACTGGGACAACCTACTATAGGTGTAGTTATATACGAAAAGGAAGTACAACTCTTCGATATGTTTCAAAAAACAATACACACAGTAAAATAGAAGCAATAAACAATGAAATCTCACCAATACAACTTACTTAAATTTGTACACATATGAATTTATTAAGCAACAGGCACAAAAACAAAACTTTTTTCTTATTTAGGTATAAAAAATAAGTCGAACATTGATAAAAACTAAAAAAATAGAAAAAAAATAAGGTAGTAATTCCATATTATAAGGTGAAAAGTCAAAATCAAAGCAATATTGTTTTGCAACTCTTTCAGTTCCGCCTGACATTAAAGGATTAGGAAGTTTAATGACCATGTCTTCTTGTGATACTGAGTCTTCATCTCTTTTTTCTGGGAATAGGAACTTGTTCCTCGAAGTCTTCTTTAGAAAATTAACAAAAAATTCATCAGATTCAATTTTTTCCACTTGACCTACGTAGTATTTTATCGTTTTTTTTAAAGGGTACTTAACAATTACAAAATCATTTGCACAAATTTCTAACTTCTCCTCTTCTTGAAGTTCACCAGAATAATCAGAACTATTATCATCACACAGTTCCTTCAAAGACACATCACTATCACTGGAGTCACTAAATAAATTCTTTGTAGCACTTTTTATTTTAGCTCTTTGGGTTTTCTGTATCTCTTTCATTATTTTTTCCTGTTCTTTTTGTTTCTTCTCTTCTATTACCGGAGTATCAGTTAAAATCGTTGATGTGACCTTTTTGCGCTTTTAGGTCAATTTTCTTGGTGGAGCTTTTACATGTGGCCGTATAGATTCGGGAGTAACAGTATTTTTTGTAAGGGTTAAGTGCTCAGGAATAGTAGTTTTTTCCAAATTTATTCCTGAACAACTAGGTCCTGAATTTTCTGGAACAATTGTTTCAATGGACTCGTTCAGATCTTCAATAAGAGACTGATCCCGATCAGTTACAAATGAACTCATGTAATCGGACTCTTGGAATATTTCAGAATTCAACGGGCAAATACCAGTGATTTGAAAACCTTTTATTACATTACTTGGCGTAAGGGCAATTCCAAAAGATTTACCAACTATTTCTACTATCTTATACAAAGTTGTTGGAACTCCAGGATGGTTTATCATCCACTCATCCATAGCTCTGTTGTAGCAACTCTTAAATGGCCCAAAACAGGTGACATCTAGGGGCTGAAGCTTGTGACTACAGTGAGGAGGCAACGTAACCAACACAATACCATTTTGTTTACAATACTGTAGTACCTTAAGATCAGTGTGACTTTCATGATTATCTAGAATCAGCAATATTTTGTTATCATTACTACAATGTAAGCTATCGGTGAGATGTATCAAATATTCTAAAAAATTTGTCCCAGTCATCCAACCAGTTGTGTGTGTGCTGCTCCTTTTGAACCAGGTGGTGCGCCATGTAACATATGTGCTTAAAGTTTTTTCTCGGGAATACGAAAAATGGTGGCACATATGTAGGGGAACCCGGGGTAAAGTGAAATGCCGGGGCAAAGTGAAAATTAATTATACATCTGATATTTGTACCGACATCTACACGAATTTTTGTGAAATATATGCGTAATAGAGGCACCATAGATTATATGTAGCGGAATCACTTCCACACTAACCTCCAATCATTTTACTCTGTCATTTGTGGTTTGTGGTGCACATGTTGTAACTTTTCATGGTAAGTTTTTTTCAATTTTTTCTGTATAAACAATATTCACGATAACTTTGTATGTGTTTATTAATTATACTAGACTATTGTACAAATAACCGTAACCATTTGATATTGGAAAGTAAAGGAAGAGAGCAAAAGATAACCTACTTTTGTTATGATGCACAATGGGGCAAAGTGAAAAATTTTAAATGGGGCAAACTGAAACTAGTTTTCACTTTGCCCCTGGATATTTAATATTTAAAACTTGCATCATATCTATGTAAATATTAATATGGTGTACATTTTAGACGAGCATGGTCCGTAAATATAAACGAAAGAGTACTCAACACTCGTGGAGCGAGGAAGGTATGAAGAATGCAATCAGCGATTGTAAAGCAGGAAACTTAAGTGTTGCAATGGCAGCCAAAACATATGATGTTCCCCTCACTACACTATATAGGAAAATGAAATTAAATAGTTCAGCTGAGGAAGCTTCGCAGAAAAAACTAGGGAGGTATCGACCTACGTTTACCAAGGAGCAAGAACAGCAGCTACGGGACTACATTTTACTTATGGAAAAACGGCTTTTTGGTTTAAGTATGCGAGACTTCAGGTCTCTAGCCTACCAATACGCAGAATTAAATAGGATACCGCATTCATTTTGTAAGAAAACTGCTTTAGCTGGCGAGGACTGGGTGTCAAATTTTCTCAAACGGAATCCGGAAATATCCTTACGTTTGCCGGAAAAGACTTCTGCAGCTAGGGCAACAGCATTTAACCGACCAAATGTGGCAAACTTCTTTGCATTGTTAGGCGAGTTAATGGACAAATACCACTTCACTGCCAGTCAGATTTACAATTGCGACGAAACTGGTCTTTCAACAGTCCCCAACAAACCAAGTAAAATTTTGTCTTTGAAGGGAAAAAAACAGATAGGATCCCTCTCGTCTGCTGAACGAGGAACGTTAGTTACTGCAGAGATCTGCGTTAGTGCCAGTGGACATTATATTCCACCTTTATTAATATTCCCAAGAGTACGCCTGAATCCACTATTTGATGTTGGTTTACCACCTGACAGTGTAGTCGTTTGTCATCCCTCCGGATGGATGCAAACTGACATATTTGTAGTGTGGTTTAAACATTTTGTAAGGTATGCAAAACCCACCAACACGGATCCCGTTTTGTTAATAATGGACGGCCATGCAACGCACACAAAAAATATAGAGATGATGGAATTAGCTAAATCTACCAATGTGCATATCCTGATTTTACCGCCACATACCTCTCATAGGTTACAGCCCTTGGATGTATCGTATATGTTCCCATTGAGTGCTTTTTACGAGCAAGAGGTGAGGGCGTGGCAAAGAAACCATCCCGGAAAGGTTGTAACTATCCATAATGTTGGAGCTCTATTTGGTAAAGCATATCAACGTGCATCGACTCAACAGAATGCAACAAGCGGGTTTCAAAATACAGGAATATTCCCATACAATCCTCACATCTTCCCAGATGACTTATTCGAACCATCTGAGACAACAAATAGAGAACTTCCTCCAACACCGCCAGCTGCGTTAGAAAACTTGATTCAAGAAGTAAATAATACAACCCCACCACCAGCAGCTACAACCTCAAGCATTCCAGATAAGCCACAATCAAAGTCACAAAAGCTATTGGCACCAGAAGAAATTTTACCTATTCCAAAGGCCGATGTTCAACTTAAACAAAGAACAAACCGGAATCGAGGGAAGACTATGATCTTGACGTCCACTCCAAACATGGAGGAAATCAAAGAAAAACATTCAACTCCGAAAATTCCTACAAAGGCGGTTAAGCGCAAAATATCCAGTAGCCCAAAAATAAATAATTGTCCTGTGAAGAGAAAACAAGAGAATAAGAACACTGAGAAGAAAGTATTTGTAGAATCAGACCTTTCAGGTTCTAATGAAACTATTAGTTACGCGGATTCTTCAGAATCTCCAGATGCTGAAAATGAAAGTGAGTTGAGCTTCGAAGAAGACAGACCACTGCATTATTCCACAGTCAGTGTTGCTGATATTCATCCTAACGATTATGTGTTAATAGACTTACAAGATGAGGCCAAGAAAACTAAAAAACGATTTGTTGCACAAGTGATGTGTGCAAAGAAAAACCGAATAAATGTAAAATTTATGCGAGAATACAGACAAAGCAAAAATATTTACGTTTTTCCTGCGATTCCCGACGAAAGTGAGGTGTTTTTGAATGAGATAATTGGTCGTCTTCACTCTTATGAACTGCTCCGTTATGGTAAAATTAAATTTTTGTAAAACTGTATCAACAAGACTGAGATTTTTCTGTAAATAAAGTATTTTCATGTTGCCCCATTTTAAATTTCACTTTGCCCCGTATATGGGGCAAAGTGGAAGAAAATGTTATCATCACAAAAAAAATCGCAGTAAAATATATGCTCTCATTATGATCCTTATGTTACACCAGTTTGTAAAGGAATCCTATATTTATCATATAAACACAGTACCGTTATTTAAAATGTTGTTTTCATCAATTTATGGATTTTTTGGCCTTAACCTATCCACTTTGCCCCGGGTTCCCCTACCATTAGCACATATGGTTGCACACATCGTTACCAAAACTCCTCTTTCGCCGCTAGTTATTTTGCCCACTTGTTTCTGGCCACAAGAGGCCATTATTTTAGGAGGCTTGTGTACAGTCGTGACTGCAGTTTCGTCGCAGTTGTATATTTGATTGGCTGTAAAACCGTGTTTCTCAATAACGTTACGCAGGTTTGTAAAAAATATGCTAACGTTGTGCTTATTAAAGCTTGTTGCTCGGCTTAAACTTGTCGCCTCAGGTGTGCGGAGACTTAACTTATGCCTAGCTCGGAAAAGTTTCATCCATTCCTCTCCCGCGCATTTCTTGTCGCTCCAAGATTCGGGAACAGGTTTTTGATTTGAAACTGCAAACCTGTAGGCAAATAGTCGACATTCTTTAGCAGACAGCCCATAGCACATATTTGAGGCGTTAATCAAATATTCTCTAAGCAACTGCTCTTCATCATCAGTAAAGACCTGAGTAAACCCATGATGTCTTTCAAAACTGAAACTTACTTTATGATCTTCCTCTGTATTTCTATACTTCGCCACATATCTCTGTAATGCTGACTTAGTCACTTCAAATTGACGAGCGGCTTCTCTAATTGTTATATTGTTGTTTATAACAGCTAATACTGCTTCTTTCATTTTTTCTCCATTTTGCATACGGTCTTCTTTACTCTTTCTATAGGATGCATAGTTTTTCCGCGGCCTTTTCTTGTTATTCATTTTCTGTAAGCAACAATACGTTGTTCAGCTAATTTAAAATATTTTAAGTGGATACTGGGACAGTCCCACTATGCAACTCACAATTGTCCCACTATGCACTTTATAATTTGTCCCACTATACAACCACCCACATGTTTTTAGGTTAAAATTTGCTACTTCAACAAAAATCATGATCCAAGCAAAGTACATCAAAACTTACCTTCTAGATCCTTTAGGCAATATGCTCAAGGAAAATCACAACTTTAATACAACAAATAACCACAAAATACGACCTAGTTCAATCAAGCAAAAAAAAAAACTTTAACACTTTAGTTTGCTGCGTATGTTGGTTTACGATTGACCGCGCTTTTGGCGGCGACCGCGACATCGTTTTCCTAGATGTCACCACATGTATACAACTGTGTAATTTATTTAAATTTTTAATTCGAATAGTTTGCGGGAAATTTGATTTGTCCCAGTATGGAACCTGACCCAGTATACAACAGTCTCCCCTACATTTTCCACGGAGTTAATGTAAGAAGCAAACACCTGAAGGTGTCATAATTCGCAGCATTACCAGATTTCCCGTGATATTGCAGTCAATTCCAGAAATTGTACTCATTAATCAAAGCCGCATCAATTCTAAAGTTGTATATTAGGAGGACATGCACTGAGGTAAAGCCACGAGATGCGGTCAAGTTCGGCGTGAATTTCCTCAATAAATGAAACCGCCGCCGCGCGCCGGCACGAATTCAGACCGCACATAGAAAAGGAAAACACAAAATCATGTCATACCGACAAGCATTATTCGTACAACTCTCGAACAAATAAACCGTACACATATAACTGGGTAAATTGGGCTCGTCTTCATCCATCGCGATAAGCTTGTAAGTAGATGAGCAAAGAGACTTCTAGACCGGGAAGTGACGCCAGATACCGAGCCACAATTCAATAGCGTTCCCATGAAAAACAATAGGTTTATTATTCAACAATGTATTCAGTCTTCAATGTCAGCAATTAACAATAGTAGTCTGTATAGGGAGGAAATGGTGGATAGATTTAGTTTTTGCCGAGTTAGATTTTCGAGTTCCCACAGGTTCATTTTTGTCCTTTGAGTTCACTTGTCTTTGGGTAATCAGTTAGGATGGTGCTCCGTAGAACAGAAAGGTAATGTACTTAGTTGTAATTGATTTATATTGTAGATTATGTTGCCTTCAGCTATTTGTAATGCAGGGTAAAGTGATTCTTGAATTTGGTGTAATTTGCTTTGAATGTAAAAGTGGTTCCTGTTTTGATTTGTTGAAGATTGACCAGTTATCAATTTTCATTTGTTTGTTTTGAACCCATTTGGATTGATTAGCGACTTCGTTTCTTTGGGTATGAATCAGCCTTTTTTGAGTGTAATTAACCGTTTCGCCCTTGTAGAGATACATGCCGGAGTGATAAAGATACGTAGCGGCATGTATTTCGAACGACAACTTTAGTCTAAGGTTACCGTATCCAGGATCTTAGATACCTGCTAGATTGGAGGAGGTCTGGCTAATTAATGATGTTTATTTTATGCACTTTATGTAAAAGACTTCGGAATGTATCTTTCACACATGAGAAAAGATTGAGGGTGTTTTTTAAATCTATTTGTGATGGCCATCCTTTAACTTATCAAGTTTGTATTGCATTAACGTCAGATTTCAATAGGTCCAATTCAAGAGTTACTTACTCGGATTATTATTCTTTGTATAACTTTTGTAGCTGTGTTGTAAAATGTGTTTAGCGTTATCCAATATTACCTCTCATTCTCCAGATTTTCCCTCTAGATTTCACCTCTGTGAACAGTGAGTCGGAATTTTCTTTAGTAGGTACGGTTCTTTTGTCCGACGAGTTCTAGGGGAACCTGGCACTTTTTGGCTTTAAATGTATTCTGTCTAAATTTGTAGGATGTCTTTCGGCCTTTTGATTCATTTTTACACTTTTGATCAGTTCTTTAATAAACTTTATTTGTGTTTCAAATTCAATTAAGCGTATTATTTGCGTTCCGCCTTTCCGATAATTAGCATGGGTACGAGTGAGTGCAACCTGGCCTTCCACAACGTAGGGGTTCCGGCCATTGTCGAGTGTGAGGTTTGTGTTACTACGCCGGTGTTCCGAGCTCGTGTTTTTCCCGCTTTCGTTAGCGCGGGAGCTGTCGACTTGGGTACCTACATCACAACATATACAAAATGTAATGCTAGAAATTATGAAGCTACACAGTTTTTTGTGTACGCCCCGCCATAATACAATCTCTACAATAAATCATTATCGGCGCTGGGCCATCGATGTGGCTGCGCTGCCATGGCTGATTCCAGTGTTTTGTACATCGTATTCGGTTACGCAGCTCACAATCTCTTTGAAATACGGTCGGAATCTTGATCCATATTTTCAATAAGCAGGGCCGTATGCAGGAGTACGCCAGGGCAGGTTGAGCCTGCCCTGGAAAATTTTAAGCCTGCCCTAGTCTGGTTTCAAAAATTTTATTTATAATTTCCGGGTGTACTAAAAGTCTAAAAATATATTTTGATATAATTTCGTTTGTACTCGTAAGATTAGACATACACATAAGCAATGACTATAATTCATTGCACTTTGCATTAATGCAGTCGCACCGCACCAATGCCTTGTATTTCTTTCGTTTGTGTTTTGCGCGAACTGTCTTCAGTCTTGAATTAAAACACTACGCTATGCTATAGGAAGTTATTTGTGCAATTAGCAATTTTGATTGCAGTGGATTGTGGAAGTCGTAACGACCGACGGTGTCAGTGATAGTGATTGTAAACTCTTTGCGACGGCCGGCGCTTATGTTATAACTAGGTAGGTAAGAGGTACCTAACTACTGTGAAATTTTTTCAAACGTAATTAGTGAAGTAACTTTTACTAAATTACTTTTATACATGATTAAGGGCCGAGATATCCAACTCCTTATAAACTACCTATTAACTATTAGGAGAATAGTGTATTTATTAGCTAATAAATAATAACATGGAGTTCCATTGTTATTTATCTGCCTAACAAATATTAGGTACCTAATTTCTCATCTTACCCAAAATGGAAAAGTTGGCAATTCTGATTTTAAGATGTTATCATTAAAAAAAAGATGGTCATATAGAAATGCATGCATGAGTTGGAGTGAAATAGTGGTTTATTGACATTTGATGAACAACTTAACCTATATGCAATTCAAATTACTGGTGAATGAGAAGCTTTGATTAATTTAATAAATTACGATGTAAGTAATTGTGACTGTTATGCAATAAATTATTACCTATTTTGTATATTTTAGTTATTTCTAAATGGCGACAAAAAGACAGCGGACCATCAATTTTAGTGAGAAGGAGGTGCGTCTTTTAACGGACATTTGTTTGAAGTATAGCAGTATACTGGAGAATAAAAAAACGGACGCTGTGACATGGAAAGAGAAAAACACTACTTGGGAGCAAATAACGGCGGAATTTAATTCTCAAAATGAAAGTTCTAATTATCGAGACACGAAAAATTTAAGGTTAAAGTATGACTGCCTTAAGAGGGAAATAAAAGCAAAAAAGGCCAAAAACAAACTTGAAATTTATAAAACCGGCGGTGGAAAGCCAGAAGGTACTCCTTACACAGATTACGAGGAAAAAATATTAGACGTGATCACATTAAGTTTAGAAGGGCTACCGTGCCGACATGACAGCGATAATGCATTAATTATAGATAATGGCATAGATATGGTAGAAACGTTACCTTTTACAGCAATAAGTAATTTGGAAAACATACCTTTCGACATACCACTGTCAGAAATTGATATTGCCGCCCCTGTTGCACGTGAGCTGGAAACGTCTATTATACCCAGCACGTCAAAGAAGTGGACTTCTGGGAAGAAGAAACGTCTACAGCCACAAGAGAGGCAGTATTTCAATAAAAAATACGAGCAAATTACCAACAATAGAACAACACTAATTACATTGCAAACCGAAAATGCAGAATGGGAAAAGCAGTTATTATTAAGTAAAATCAAATTTGCGGAAGAAGAGTATATGCTAAAAATGAAGCTGTTAAAATTAAACATTCGTAAGGCAGAAATAAATTTATTGCAAGCGGAAAAGGGCACATTAGAATAACAACACACAAAAATCACAAGTGATCATTAAGAACAAGTATTCCATTCAGTACCTTCTAATATGTATAAAAATGTCTGATAATCTTACAATAAACCTTGAAAATAATCTATATACGGTTGACGAGCATTATTTTCTACGTTTACTGGTGCAATAACATTATTGTCCTGGTCAATTTCTATGTCATCTAATTCCATAGCTTCATTTTGGTCTCTAGCAATGTTGGGAATTATTGCCGTAGCTACAATAATGTCTTGACACATAGGTAATTTGTTCCGCAGTCCCAGTGACAAAATAGGAAATTTCCGTTTCCATATACCAAATGTTCTTTCAATTATTGTCCTTGTTCCGATTTGGCATTCATTAAAATAGTGCTCTGCGGGATTTGTTGGATTATTAATTGGAGTAATTAAATAGTGACAGAGAGGATAACCGCTGTCGCCTAATAAAATGCTATTTTCCATTTCATTGTTTTCAAATTTCATACGAATTGTTGAATTCCTAAATATATGGCTGTCATGACTTGCTCCTGGCCAACGACATACAATATTTCTAATTTTATAGTTTGCATCACATACAGCTTGGACGTTGATAGAAAAAAACCTTTTCTGTTTCTGAAATTCTCAGCATGTTCACCACCTAGGTACAAAATATAGCTAACACTTCACTATCATATAAGGAACGAACCTGGATTTTGGATTCTTATGTGTGTGCAATCAATGGCACCAATAACTCTAGGAAACCTTGCGATAGCATAGAAACCTTGCTTGATTATTGTCATTTCCTCAACGGTATCTGGCATTTTAATGTACACTGGGCTTAATTCCGCAATAGCCCTTGACACTCTTCTTATAATTTGTCCAGAAGTGGTTCGATGTAAACCTCCAAAATCTCCAGCTACTATTTGAAAACTACCACAAGCATAAAACCTAAGAGCAACTAGTAACTGTTGTAAAGGTGATACAGCATGATTTCTAAAACGATAAAAGATGTGGTATACAAACTAATTACCATTACACGATTTACCTATCTGTGCGATGTCTTATATTGTCTTCAATGAGACCATTAATGTGAAGTGCAGTATTTTTTGTCACTCTAAAGCGATTGAAAAATTGTTCCTCATTCCATCCATGGAAATTATCTTGTCTCTCCCTAACCATATATCTCTGGCGATTTAATCCTAAATCTTCAATTTCCTGCATCTCTATTTCATCATCCAGTTCATGAAAATACATTTTTTTTAGATCCTGCAATTGCTTTTGAGGTTAGGTATACAGGGTGGTGACTTGCGTAACGCATCATAGGGATTTCAATGTAAAATTCATAACATGCGATTATTGGCTCCCCAAATTATTTTAGAGCAAAAATGTATTAAGGTTTTTTGTAGGAAAAAATTTTTTACGTCAATCAACCCTATTACTTTCCAATTTTTTGCATAATAAAGATGGAAAATTGGAAAATAAAACCCCCATCTTTTTCAATAATCTGCGATGCCATGGAATTTTCTAAAACAAAAAGATATCCAGTTATCAATTAGCAGCAATTCGAAATGGATTTTATGATCGACTTGGTTACTGTCTTGCAGTTAATGGTGACTTATTCGAACATTTATTGTAAATTGTTATATTAGGAAACCGTTTTTAGTAATTTGGTCTTTCTTTATGTTGAATTCGCTGTTCTAAATATAATACTTTTCGATAGAATTTGATTTGTTTTATAGCAGACATTCCATGGCATGACGGATATTGGTGTAGTTTTTGTATTGTGGCGGCCAGCGCCTAAAACATATACAATTAAGCACGCCGAGACTACCCCCAGCTCGGCACGGCAGTCAAGCACGGCCGAGAACACCCCGGAGACATGCAAAACGGTTTCTCCCCACTCCAACAGACGGCCTTTATAAGGCGAGCCAGCAGCAGAATAAATCAGATGCACCTGTTTCCTTATAGCGGTCATCTCACTAATACTGTGTTGTCTCATAGCCAGTATTCAATTTAGGGCAGTGTTCTTAATAGCCTGCCTCACCAACCGGCGTTCACCGAGCCCGATAAACACAATCAGGTTACCCCAGCCGGCGTTCACCGAGCCCGGCATTCCTACCAGCATCCACCGCGGACAGTACGTCGGGCCCATGCCCCCTACGACGCCCAGGAAGGTGAAGCGCCAGCGACGAAACGAGGTCCGCCGTTTCTTCCAGAGGAGCCCACTCCCGACACCCGTTTCGCCGCTTCCGCCTAGCCCGACGAAACCACAACGCGCGTGGATACTACAGCCCATCGAGCAGCCCGTTTCCTACGGCAACATCGACCCCGGGACCATAGCGACTAACGATCCCCGCCGATTTATAGTACGCGATCGTCATCGGAAGCAGCTGATCCAGCACCTGTTCGGGGACGACTAGAATTTGCATGTACTGTAATGTAAATGTAATGTTATGTAAATATAGGACACAATAATAAACGAGCACGCATACAACCAAAGTATTATAAAATTCCATGGCATCACCGATTATTGAAAAAGATGCGGGTTTTATTTTCCAATTTTCCGTCTTTATTATGCAAAAAATTGAAAACTAATAGGGTTGATTGACGTAAAAATTTTTTTCCTACAAAAAACCTTAATACATATTTGCTATAAAATAATTTGGGGAGCCAATAATCGCATGTTATGAATTTTACATTGAAATCCCTATGATGCGTTACGCAAGTCACCACCCTGTATAAGTAAATTAGAAGCGTATGTCAATGGAAAATAATTTTTTTACTTTTGATTTTACTTACCTTTCACGTATATTTTACGAAGATTAATATCACAAGAAACTTTTGTAATTGATGGGTTTATACTACCTTATCAGGAGCTCATACTAGCTAATAAGATATTTAGCTAATAAGGTTAGTTACTAGGTACCTATTAATTGTTAGGAGGTGAAAATCCGTAAAAAACGTTTATTAGCTAAATAAATTTATTAAGTAGTTGATTAGAAGGTGGATATCTCGGCCCTTAGGAACATTTTCTAATGACCTGTTCTATAATTTCTTTTGCAAACAAATCTGAGATGAGAGCGTCAGCGAAAACCGAAACGTAAAGTCATTGCTAATTGCGCCAATCATCGATTGCATCTAGTAATTGTAAAAGCTATAAAGGAAATACCCACAATTAGGCAATACTTCGATCAATGCGCCATGCTCTACATGTTTTTAAAGAAAGGAAGTTTATCAAAATTTTACGATGGACACGTACTGTGTCGCCTTCTGGAACAGCGCTGGAGCGATCATTTGGACGTTACTCGTCTAATTTTCAATAATTATTGGAAAATAACCCAAGCGCTAGAAAAAATATCGAAGAGCAGGGATATCGACGGCGATTATGTTGTAGAAAGTACTGGTTTACTGAAAATTATTCGCTCCAAGGAATTCCGATTTTGCATGGTGTTCATGAAAAAAGTGTTAGAAACTATTCATCCTGCTGATAAATTACTTCAGTCGCCCGAAGCGAGTTTGACAGACTCTGTTGTACTTATAAAATCCGTAGTAGATTCTCTTACTTCCTACAGAAATGAAAGCGTTTATAAAATGATGGATGAAAAATCAACACCGATTTCAATGTTGCTGACGATGATACTCACACTTCCAGGAAAAGACAAAGAAAGACCAACACACTCCTTAAGGACTACCTAGTATATGATAAAACGGGCGAAAGATCAGAAGAGGTAGACCAAAATGAAGAATACTTCATGTCAATATTTTATGAAACACTGGATGTTATCTTAACTGAAATGAAAGTAAGATTTGAAGACAACAATGAGCTGCTAATTGCAGTTTCCAGTGCTGAAGATGAAAATATCGATTTAGACAAAATTAAATATTTGGAAACTTTGGGTGTAAAACTGCCATCTCCAGAAGAAATTGTAGTTGTAAACAGATTTATAAACGCTCAAAAGAAAGAGAACCCTGATTTAGCTGTCTTTGACATAATTTTCCAGCAACGATCAACTTTTGAGAAAATTTAATCAGCAGAAGAGCAGACGACTGCAACTTTTCTAAAATAAATAACCATATTCTTCGTATTTTTTTTATGTGTATAATTATGTAAATATAAAATATGGCTACTCTGTCAATGTCATTCTGATTTCAGATTGAGTGTATACATTTACGAACAAAACAAAATCAATGAAAGTACTGCAAAAAAACTACAAGCTCTTTACATTTTGATATAAAATTTCAGTCTGCCCTGAGTTTTTGTGGGCCTGCCCTTATTATAAATTCTGGCTACGGGCCTGTCAATAAGTCATTTACAATTAAACTAAGGCGGCTCCAGACTCACGCCGCGAACACCCGTGAAGCCCCGCGAACGCGAGTATGGATGGTTTTCACGCGTTTTCACGGAGTTCACGTATCTTCGCGTGGGCTTTCCCGTTTCGAGTCTGTCTTTTTGCTCGCTTCAAAGAGTTCGCCACTGTGAAAGCGAATTTAACTGTGAAATAATTGTGAGTGTGGAGGTAAATTTTGGTCCGTGACGTTCGAGGTTGTTCGCGGTGTGAATTCACGGCGAAGCCGGCATACTCGCTTTTCGTCTCGATATAATTATACTCCTTTTGAGCCTCTCGCCGGGCAATGTTGCGGAATTTAAGGTTTCGATTTCGACCATAATTCGATCTCCAAACTTGGTGCCGATTACGCCGACATCAGTAATTGGGTATTTATTTCCGATTTCCAGATCTTTTGCATTTATGAATGGTTTACAATAGGTCGATGAGTTCAAGGAAGCGAAATCAAATTCTTCCATTATTATGAGCAGTAAATATCTGTAACAAATAAATAACAAACAAACAAAATTAGTCATTAAAATCATACTCACCAAATAACGCCGCAAACTAGTTCGCTCGAAGCACTGACTGAGACGTTAACTGCACTCGGCTTTTATTTCAATTTTTATCTAATCATAGCGGATGCAGCATCCTGTCAGTGTTTCTAGAAATTTCTGAGCGGAAGCAGCATCGTGTCTCTTATCTACATCGAAATGTATTTAAGCTGGCATATTTCAATTAAGTCATTGCATTTGTATGTGCATGTGAGCAGACTGTCTCAACTACTACTTCAAAGCAGAAATCCTCTTTTAAGCAGCGAAAACCAGGTAAGAGCATTTTATCTTAAATAAAACTTTAGGCATTTTAATGAAGATATTTTAGGAAAAATGGCTCATATTTTAGACAATGTGAATACCACGCTTGAAATGATTGGCCATTTCTATAAAAATTATAATCTCGGCTCTGCTAGCAAGGTTCCAAAATTCATCAACATCATCGATGCCAATCTTAGGTAAATCCAATCTTCGCTAGCAGAGCCGCTAACGGTTGGAGATAAACGGCACCTTGCAGCTGTGGCTGGTAAAATGGAACGCTACAAGGTGCTTATTAACCAGTTGGGGAAGTCTATTGTCGGCTCCTCCCTAGGTAGAAGACCGTTGGTAGAATGGTGAGATTTGGCGACCGCATTTAAATCGCGTGTGAGTACCGGTATTATTATTAATCTAGGACATAAGACTTTAGGATCATTTTTTAACGATAGCTGTAAGTTATTTATCACTAAGATTAGAGACATCTATCCCACATGTAATAGCCCGCTGAAAACAAATTTTGAGTTTTATGCGGAATTTGTAAAGCCCTCGTTGAATAAGAGTGATGAAGCACTAGCATGTAGGGAATTTAGTTTTTTAACGAAGAATTTTACTATTTTATCTAGCGATTTAAGTGAAGCTGACTTGAAGCAATTGTTTAATAATAACGCGGTGGATTATTTGATGGAGCGCTTAATGCAATTTGAGGAACAGGACAGTGGGTGGGGTCTGTACAAGATAATTTCGTTGGCTGTGAACGTAAACAGTGTGACTTTAATGCAGGCCTCGTCCTTTATAGAATTACCTAAAGAAATTCAAGTTAAAAAAGCGGTCATCAGCGGTGTTCAAAATAATGATGAAGCGTGTTTTGGATGGGCGTTGTCATCTCCCCGCTACCCTCTACACCAATCGTATCTCTTCTTATCCATATTATGCGCAAATCTTAAATTTTGATGGTATTAGCTTCCCCATGTTTTTAGACCCAACTCCAAAAATTTTTAAAACAAAATCCCAATTTATCTATCAATATTTACGGCCTTACTAGAAAAACGCAATCCGATTATGTCACTGTTCCCATTTATCTTAACACCGAAAAGAAAGCGAATCACGTTAATTTACTCAGGATCCAGCAGAATTATGATATTGAGAATAATGCTACCGCTAACAATAATGAGGAACCCGATG